TGAGGTCCACTGCCGACAGGGAGACCACCCCCCTGTCCTCTCTTTCTCCACAGGGTCGGGCCGCCCGGGGTGGGGGTCACGACTCCCCGGGCCCGTCCCAGGACCCCCCCAGGATCCCCCCTCCCGGCGGGGAGGGGACAAAGGAAAGGGTCGGGTTGACACAAAAGGGGGTCCAGCGACAAGGGGGTGGTGCACTAGATTTGGTGCAATCGATTTGAGGGGTTGCAATACCTTTGTGGCGTGCAATACATTCCAGGGCGCAGAAGTATTGCTGGATTTTCGTGCGCAATTCATTTCTTGTAATACAATGCGTTACAATTCTCCGGCGGAGTACATGTGCAATGCAATTGCCTCAAATCTATTGAGCCTCTCACACACGCTGACTGATTCGGCGGATTTGTTTGTGTGTCCCTTGGCCCCCTGGAAATCGTCCCGAGACGACCTAAGATGCCTCCGGGTTGGCGCCCAGATCCCCCAAACCTTCGCCTCGCGCCCCCTGTTTTCACGCCCGCTGGTTCCCGGCCACGCGCAGAAGGGGGTAGGGGGAGGGGGCAAGGCTTCTTAGAAGCACCCCTGCTTCTCAGAAGGCGCGGGCCTTCTTTATACACGTAGGGCCAGCGCCTTCTAAGCAGCCTTTCTCTCCCCCCACCCCCTCTGCGCGCCGCCAAGTCCAAGCCAGGGGTCGATCGGCTCACAGGGGGGCGGGGTGCTTCGACCCCGGTCGCCCCTTCATCCCGGGCCCGATAGCCCCACCCCGACGAGGAGCGTGTGGATCCGCCATCGGGGGCTCTCGCCGAGCTGTCGGCGATGTACCGCCGATTCTGGCACGACGTTCCCCCCCTTCCACACTCCTGAGCGCCCCTCCCCCTTATCGGCACCCCTCAAGGATGAATCACAGGAAACTGCAGGAGCGCGAACTTTCGGAGGCTCGCGGCGGGGGTGCCTGGGGGCGGCGCTGGACCGAACCCCCTTCCCTGCACAGCTCTCCCCCGGCGTGCGGCGGTGCCAGGGGGTGCGGAGGGGGGCCAACGGCGCCGACCCAAGCAGCCTGCGCGGACACCCAGCTGCCCACACGCACACCTGTGCTGCCCTCTTCCGAGGAAAGCGCAGACGTCGGAGTAAGGCCGCGTGGATTGGTGAGGGGTCCGTGTCCACACGAGGTCGACGCGTCCCGTCAGAGTCAGGCGGCTCTGGCCTCCTGTTCCGTGGATCTGGCGCCCATGCGCCAGGTCCACGGATCTCTACCTGCAATCCGCCGATCTGATTCCCAACCCTCCTGCGTTGGGCTGTCGTTTTGAGTAGAACACTGTGGTCGCAACTCCTGTCTTCCCCTCCTCTGCCCTTTGCCTCTCTCGTGGGCTCCTGGGAGGGGGGGCCAGGGTGAGACTGTCGCCACTTTTGTGGGCTCGTGGTCGAGCGGAATGGAGCTGAACGGGGACCCAGTTGAGACCTCGCGGCTTCCTGGGGGGGCTGCGAAGTGTGAATTTGTCGCCGCTTTCGTGGGCTCCTGGGAGGTCGCACGGAGTGGAGTTGTGCGGGGACCCAGTTGAGACCCCGCGGCTCGCG